TTCTTTAGCCTTGCAGATACTTTTATTTTGATGAAGTCCCATTTGTTTATTCTTTCCTTTATGTCCCTTGCTCTAGGGGACATATCAGTGAAAATATTGCTGCTTGGAATATCTGAGATTTTCTTCCCTATATTCTCCTCTAGAGCTTTTATTGTGTCATGACTTATATTTAAGTGTTTTATCCATCTTAAGTTTATTTTTGTATATGGTGTAAGTAGGTGGTCAAGTTTCCTTTCTTTGCATGTAGCTGTCCAGATTGCCCAATACCATTTGTTGAAGAGACTATTTTTACTACATTTTATGCTTCTGCCCTCTTTGTAGAATATTAATTGACCATAGAGCCTTGGTTGATTTCTGGGCTCTCTGTTCTGTTCCATTCATCTATATGTCCATTCTTCTGCTCGTACCAGACTGTTTTCATTACCGTGGCTTTGTAATATAGTTTCATATCCAGTATTGTGATCCCTCCTGTTTTGTTCTTCTTTCTCAAAATTGCTGCAGCTACTCAGGGTCATTTATAGTTCCACATAAATTTTTGAAATGTTTGTTCTATATCTGTGAAATATGTCATTGGTACTTTAATAGGGATTGCATTGAATCTATGAATTGCTGTGGGTAGTATGGACATTTTGATGTTGTTAATTCTTCCAATCTATGAGCATGGTACATGCTTCCTTTTGTTTGTGTCTTCCTTCATTTCTTTCTTCAGTGTTGAGTAGCTTTCTGAGTACAGGTCTTTTACCTGCTTGGTTAGGTTTATTCCTAGGTACCTTATTTTTCTTGTTGCTATATCAAATGGGATTTTTTTTTCCTGATTTCTGTTTCTGATATTTCACTGTTGGTATACAAAAAAGGCCTTTGGTTTCTGAATACTGACTTTGTATCCTGCTGTTTTGCCAAATTCACTTACTAGTTTGAGCAGTTTTTTGGTGGAGTCTATAGGATTATCTATGTACACAATCAATGTCACTTTCTATGTAGACTTTCTATGTCATCTGCAAACAATGACAGTTTTGCTTTCCTCCTTTCCAGTTTGTATGCCTTTTATTTCTTTTTCTTGTTTGATTGTGGTGTCTAGGACTTTCAATACTCTCTTGAATAAAATTAGTGAAAGTGGACATTCTTATCTTGTTCCTGATCTTAGTGGGAAAGCTTTTAGTTTTTAACCATTGAGTATGATGTTGGCTCTAGGTTTCTTGTATATGACCTTTATTATATTGAGCTATGCTTCTTCTACTCCCACTTTGCTGAGTGTTTTTATCATAAATGGGTGCTATACCTTATCAAATGCTTTTTTTTATATCTTTTGGTATGATCATGTGATTCTAGAAATGTGTCTATTTCACCCAGGCTTTCAAATTTCTTGGCATATAGTCATTCATAATAATTTTTTACAATTCTTTGCATTTCTATAGTATCAGTTGTAATCTCTTCTCTTTCATTTCTGATTTTGTTTATTTGGGTCCTCTTTTTCTCTTTTCTTTTCTTTTTTTTCTTTATGATTCTGCTTAAAGGCTTGTTCATTTTGTTTATCTTTTCAAAGAACCAGCTTCTGGATTTATTGATCCTTAAAATTGTTCTTTTAGTCTGTATGTCATTAAATTGTGCTCTGATCTAGGTTATTTTCTTCCTTCTGCTTGCTCTGGGCTTTGTTTGTGGTTGTTCCTCCAGTTCTTGTAGATGTACAATTAGGTTGTTTATTTGAAATGTTTCTATCTTTTATAGGTAGGCCTGTATTGCTCTGAACTTCCTTCTCAGGACTGCCTTTGTTGTGTCTCATAAGTTTTGTACTGTTATGAGCTCATTTTCATTTGTTTCCAGAAATTTTTTTATTTCTTCTTTGATCTCACTCTTAACCCATTCATTGTTTAATAGCATGGTATTCAAACTCCACAAATTTTAGTGTTTTTAAATTTTTTTCCTTGAGGTTGGTTTCTTGTTTCAGGCCCTTGTGGTCTGAGAAAATGCTTGATACGATTTCAATTTTCTTGAATTTATTGAGGCTTGTTTCATGTCCTATCATGTGGTCTATCTTTGAAAATGTTCCATGTACATTTGAAAAAAATGTGTATTTTGCTTATTTGGGATGAAGGGTTCTATATATATCAGTTAAGTCCATTTGATCTAGGGCATTGTTCAATGACACAATATCCTTGTCGATATATTGTTTGGAAGATCTATCCATTTTTGACAGTGGGGTGGTAAAATCCCCTAGTATAAGTGTGTTGCTGTTTATATCTTTCTTGAAGTCCTCCAAGATTTTCCTTAGATATTTGGGTGCTCCTATGCTGAGTGCATGTATGTTTACAAGGTTTATGTATTTTTGATGAATTCTTCTCTTAAGTATTACAAAATGTCCTTCTCTGTCTCTTTTTATGGCCATGTTTTGATGTCTATTTTTTTTTAAATATAAGTATTGCTACCCTAGCATTTTTTCCCTGTCCATTTGCTTAGAATATTTTTTTCCAACCCTTTTCTTTCAGTGTGTGTAGGTCTTTTGTTCTGAGGTGGGTCTCTTGTAGGCAGCATATGTGGGGGTCATGTTTTCATATCCATTCAGCTATGTCTTTTAGGTGGAGCATTTAATCCATTTATATTTAAGGTGGTAATTGATAGGTACTTATTCCTTGCCATTTTACTCCCTTTGTACCTGTATTCCTCTCTGTTTCTATCATTCTTTTTCTTCCTTTTCTTAAAGCAGTTCCTTTAGCATATTTTGCAGTGCTAGTTTGGTAGAGATGTATCTTTCAGTCTTCTTTTGTCTGAGAAACTCCTTATTTCACCTTCCATTTTAATTGAGAGCCTTGCTGGATAGAGAGGGCTTGGTTGTAGTCCTTTGCTTTTCATTACTTGGAATATTTTTTTCCATTTCCTTCTGGCTTGTAGTGTTTCTGTTAAGAAGCCAGCTGCTAGCCTAATTGGTGCTCCCTTGTATGTTACTTCCTGTTTCTCCCTTGCTGCCTTTAAGATTCTCACTTTATCTTTGAATTTTGCCATTTTAATTACGATGTGTCTTAGAGTGGGCCTCTTTGGGCTCCTCTTGATTGGGACCCTCTCTGCTTCTTGTTTTGTGTGACTTTTTCTCTCATCAAATTAGGGAAGTTTTCTATTATTACTTTTTCAAACAGGTTTTCTATCCCTTGTTCCTCTTCTTCTCATTCTGGTATCCCTATTATATAAATATTATTTTGTTTCATGTTGTCCTGCAGTTCCCTTAACACCTCTTTGTTCTTTCTGAGTCTTTTATTCCTTTTATTGCTCTTTCTGGGAGTTTTTTTCTACCTTGTCCTCCAGCTCACTGATCTGATCCTCTGCTTCACCTAGGCTGCTTTTGATTCCTTCTATTGTGTTCTTCAGTTCAGAAATTGTATTCTTTATTTCCTCTAGGCTCTTGTTGGTTATTTCTATGTACTTTTTCATGTAGGTATACTTTGCAGTAAGTTCCTTGTAGCTTCCCTGTAGTTTTTGGTAATTCTCACTGAGCTCATTGAGCTTCCTTATAACCATTGTTTTGAACTCAGTATCTGATAGTTGACTTGCCTGTATTTCATTTAGCACTCTTTCTGAGGATTTTTCCTTCCCTTTCGATTGAGGGTTGTTTCTTCGTCTTCCCATTATATGTGAGACTCTTCTTGTTTGCCTGTGTTTCTTAAGTTGATCTGTTTTGACTCCCTGAGTTTGTGGTGTGAACTTCTAAGGTAGGATACTTGTGAGATTCTGTCGTGCAATGTACTTGATCTCCTGAACTTGATGCTCTTGGGATTCCCTTTATGCCATTTATGTTGGCTCTCTGGATGTAACTGGGTTTTGATTTTTGTTGGGTCATTCTTTGACATAAACATAATGACCCAACAACAATCCCTCCAGCTGGTTGACTGAGGGTCACTCTGCCCACCATGTCTTGCATGCTGTTGGGCAAGTGCTGCCAGAACAAAATTACAAAGCCTAGGGAACAAACCCACATCCACAAAAATACCACCCCCACACACAATACCACTATTAACAGCAAATGAACAGTATTAATAAGGTGGTAAAAACATTAAACTGTTATAAGAAAGGAGAGAAATAAACTATAATATAAAATCTAGTAACAATATGCACAATCTTGATGGAAAAGAAATGAATGTTAAAAAGCTCTGCAGGAAAGAAAATATTGCTAATCATGGAGAAGATCATAGTGGATTTTGTCTTGGTAGCCTCTAGTATTTGCCACTGCTTTTTTCTTTCTGTATCCATCTCTGGTGAAGTCAGACGTTGACCAGTCTGACCTTAGGTAGCCTGCTCCAAGATGACCAGGGATCTACTGTCTATGGCTGTCTCCTTCAGTTGTTAATCTAGTCACTCAGCACCTAGCAGTCAGGCTTAAGCCCCAGAGGGCAGGAAAGACTCTCTCCTGGTGTTGGGGCTATTGTTTCTCCTCAGCCTGCTGCTGCTCGGAGGGGAGTGGTCTGCCTGAGCAGGATGGCTGCTGTAGTATGGGGGATGACTCAACATTGGGATCCTGGTGTCTACTCTCTCAGCTTTCTACCCAAAGCTCTTGTCCCTAGTCTCTCCTCAGGCATCTCCAGCACACACTGCCCTCACCTTTGCTGGAGCCCTGGGTAAGTGGCTGCAAATAAAAATTTGTGCATTGGCTCTTAAACAGCTTTTTATATCTCTAGCTCTCCATCTCTGGCAGAGAACAACTCTGCTGCTTTTCACCGTCAGTTGTTATCTGTGTAGTTTTGGGGCTCTGGTGCTCTAGGCTGGGAATCCAAGCTAAGGGTTTAGACTCCACACTTCTCAGGGGGATCCAACTAGTTGCTTAATTATCCCTCTGGTGTTGCCACCTGTGGGGGCCCATCCAGCCTTCTCAAGTCTCCACCACACTCTTCACCAGTCAGTTAGTGCTGAAGATAATTCTTCTGCCTATCCAAGGTTATAAGGCTCCTCTCTCGCTACTGTGCAGTTGTTTGTTCTGGGTGATATCTCTGCAATTTAGTTGTAATTTCAGATTGGTCAAAAATATGGAACATTTCACAAATTTGTGTGTCATTCTTGCACAGGGGCCATGTGAATCTTCTCTGTGTCATTCTAATTTTAGTGTATGTGCTGCCAAAGTGAGCACTGGATGCTTTTTTATATCAGCTCTATAATTCTCCATATTTGGTGGAGCTGAGGCAACCTGCAGTGCATATTTACTTAATTTGACTTCAGAATTTTACCCTTGAACTGAGCCTCCTGAGTCACATGTAGGATACATAGGAATTAAGGAAAACACTGGTACTCATTTGATATGTTGGTCATTTCCCTTTTTGTCCTTGGAAACTCCATTCCCTGACCTCTTTAACAGCTGGCTTCTGGGTAGTTCAGCCCATGGGAGGCACTGGGGAAGGGTCTGGAAGGGGAGAAGAGGGAGAAGCTAGGGCTTCCTGCTAGGATGATGCCTTTCCCAGCACCTGGGGCTCCTCAGTGGCCCTGCTTTCACTGGTGACAACATTCATTGTGGTCCAGCTCCTGCATGTCAGCTCCACTCAGGCTTTGCTCTCACAACCTTGCACCCCATCCCCTGTTCCTGGGCCATGGCAGCTACTGCCTCTTCTGATCGCTGGATACTGCAGCGCATCCACTATACCATGTCCTTTATGGTATGTATCCTCTATTAAATTCCTTTTTTTGGAAAGGTTTAGAATGATTTTATCTTCCTGGCAGGACCATGACATGAAAATCAAATTTCTAAGGTGACACCTTCAAAGATAATAATTGGCAATTCCTTTCTTTGAAGTGACAGGAGGACCATAATGAAGGAATTCTCAGTATGTAAGGTACCTCAACTTATTTCAAGGAGTAACATGAAATTTTAAAAATATCAATTTTGGCACTATAGTTCAGCTTATAGTTACATATAGCCACAAAGCAGTTTTGTGAGGAAAGCCTTCAGGGCCTATCATATTATTAAACACACTCTTCTAAAATTAGGAAATGTTATCAAGAGGAGTAGAAGCTTAGTGTATAACAGAAAACTTCCTTTTGACTTACCTCCAGTGGCAGCCATGAAATAGTTTAAAGAGAATATTTTTATTATCTCTGTAATTTACCATTTTGTATGTTGAGAGAGAGTTAGGTGAAATGGCAATATACATTTAGAAAGATCTTGTGTAGCTCTAGTTCTTATTCGGAAATAGAAACTACCACTGCCTTCCAAGCCTCATCCATTGTTATCACTCCACCAATGCTTCCTAAGCAGCACAGAAACAACAAGAAAGCCCCCCATGATTAGAGAGAAAATGGGAGCCATATCATGCCACTGATGCTGCCATATGGCCACACATCTGAAGGCTCTGAATGATGCTGCCCTCACATAAAGCCCTGAGTACCTGGTTTCATTCCCATTTCAAGTGTTTGAACTGTAACATATTGGCCACCTATTTATTAAAGGAAAGAGCTTACTTTGGCAGGGGATATATTGGTGCTTGCAGCAAGATGTTGTTTAATACAAAAAGAGATTCTTGACTTCCTTTCAGATCTGAGGTCCACAGCATGAGAGTGTTTGGTAGATGTGTTTTAAAACTGCATGACTATTACACAACCCCTTTTCTTTAGTTGGCACAAGAAGGGCATTCCCATCCTCAATGCTCTGTTCCCTACTTCCTCAAAGCTTGGTTGACAAAAACACTACCAGCCTTATCCAGCTTTTCATGGAAAGCTGCCACTCTTAACTGGCGCCTCCATGCAATTTCAGACTGTCCCGGGAGACCTTCATGCTTTGAGGTGAATTCATAACATTAGGGCCAACAAAGAAGTTAACACAACCTTATACTGTTAAAGAAAAAGAAAAAAAGTCTGCATGCTTACTGAAGCAGCTCTGCTTCTGTGAGCGCCTCTGTCCTCTTCTCCCCAGTGACAATGGCCAGTTCATCCTTCAGCTCCTGGATTTCCTTTTGTAGGCGTATAATCATCTACAAATGGAGAGGCAGAGAGTAAATGTCAGCTCCTCATTAAAGGGAACTTGGTGACAGAGAACACAAATTTTTCTTTTGTTTTAAAAAAAATCCTCATCCAAGGATATGTTTATAGATTTTAGAGAGAGGAGGAGGGACAGAGAAAGGAGACAGAGATAGCAGGGAGAGAGAGAGAGAGACATTGATCAATTGCCTCCCATATACCCCTAGGTGACTGAATGGAGATTGAACCGCAATCTAGGGATGTGCCCTGACAGGGAATTGAACCTGATACCTTTTGGTGAGACATCTGACCAGGGTCATATATCTTCAAAAATTATGAACTATTTTGAGGATACAGAAATCTATAGAGAATGATATAAAAGACACTTTCATACCTACCACCAAGCACTGTTAAATCTTAACATTTTGTTAAAATAGTTTTAGAATTCTTTCTAACAAATAAAACATTACTGACAACACTGGAACTCCTTATTCCTATTCCCCTTCTGTCCTTCCTGAGGTGATCACTAAACTGCATATGCTGGGGAGCATTTCCCCATGTTTTCAGATATTACTCCGTATGTATGGATATACTGTAAATAATGTACGGTATCATTTTCCATGTCTTAAATGTTATGGAAATGTTATTATCACTGCACCAACACTGCCTTTTATAAGAACATGTAATTGCAACTTTTTTTTCCCCAAAGTGTTGTTGCCTTTCATGTGCCCCCAACTGGGGACCTGCCCTGCAGCCCAGGCATGTGCCCCAACTAGGAGTCAAACCAGTGACCCTTTGGTTTGCAGGCTGGCACTCAATCCACTGAGTCACACCAGTCAGGGCAAGCAACTTGTTTTTACCTGAGTTTCTTTCTTTTTTTAAATTTAATTAATTAATTAATTAATTAATTTGTTTGTTTGTTTGGAGAGGAAGGGAGGGAGAAAGAGAGGGAGAGAAACATCAATATGTGGTTGCCTCTTAGGTGGCCCCCACTAGGGACCTGGCCTGCAACCCAGGCATGTGTCCTGACTGGGAATCGAACAAGTGACCCTTTGGTTTTCAGGCCTGCACTCAATCCAGGCCCCGGTTTCTTTATATCGATTTATACTGCTTAATGTCACTCTAGTTCATTAATTTTCAGAGAGATTATATATATATTACTTAAGTAAGGAAATAGATCGCAGTTTAGTTATCCATGTTTCCTGTTGATGGGCATTTAGGATTTTTACCATTGCTGCTACAGTCTCTGGGTACATATGTGAGTTTCCCCATAGTGCACACCGAGAATTGTGTGATAGTAGAGTATCATATCTTCCCTTTATTACATAATATATTGTTTTTTTCTTTTTTAATATTTTTCGATAATGCTATTGCAGTTGTCCCATTTTTTCTCCCCTTTATTCCCCTCTGCCCTATACTCCAGCTCCCTACAGCATGCCCCCTGCCCTTAGTTCATGTCCATGGGTCATACATATAAGTTCTTTGGCTTCTCCATTTCCTATACTATTCTTAACTTCCCCCTATCTATTTTGTACCTACCAGTTATGCTTCTGATTCCCTGTACCTATTTCTCCCCCTCCCCCTGCCCTTCCCTACTGATAACCTCCCATGTGATCTCCATTTCTATGATTTCTGTTCATGTTCTAATTGCTTGCTTAGTTTGTTTTTGCTTTTTGTTTTAGGTTTGGTTGGTAGTTGTGAGTTTATTGTCATTTTACTGTTTGTATTTTTGATCTTCTTTTTCTCAGATAAGTCCCTTTAATATTTCTTATAAGGGCTTGGTGGTGATGAACTCCTTTAACTTGACCTTTTCTGGGAAGTACTTTATCTGCCTTCCCATTCTAAATGATAGCTTTGCTGGATAGAGCAATCTTGGATGTAGGTCCTTGCCTTTCATGACTTGGAATACTTCTTTCCAGCCCCTTCTTGCCTGCAAGGTTTCTTTTGAGAAATCAGCTGCTAGCCTTATGGGAACTTTTTTGTAGGTAACTGTCTCCTTTTCTCTTGCTGAGTTTAAAATTCTCTCTTTATCTTTAACCTTAGGTAATTTAATTATGATGTGCCTTGGTGTGTCCTTCCTTGGGTCCAATATCTTTGGCACTCTCTGAGCTTCCTGGACTTCCTGGAAGTCTATTTCCTTTGCCAGATTGGGGAAGTTCTGCTTCATTATGTTATCAAATAAGTTTTCAATTTCTTGCTCTTGCTCTTCTCCTTCTGGTACCCTTATAATTCAGATGTTGAAACATTTAAAGTTATCCTGTAATTTCCTAAGCCTCTCCTCCTTTTTTCGATTCCTCATTTCTTCATTCTGTTCTGGTTAAATGTTTATTTCTTCCTTTTGCTCCAAATTGTTGATTTGAGTCCCAGTTTCCTTCCCTTCACTGTTGGTTCGCTGTATGTTTTGCTTTATTTTACTTTGCATAGCCTTCACTTCTTCCTCTATTTTGCAACCATGCTTAACCATTTCTGTGAGCATCCTAATTTCCAGTGTTTTGAACTCTGCACCTGATAGGCTGGCTATCTCCTTGTCCCTTAGCTCTGTCTTTGGAGTTTTGATCTGTTCTTTCACTTGGGCCATATTTCTTTGTCTTGATGCACCTATTATGTTGTAAGGGGCAGGGTTTTAGGTATTCACCAGGGAGGAGTAACCCACGTCACTGTGTTGTGTTGCCGTAAGTGAGTGAGGGATCAGAGAGGGAACATCACCATTTGCCTGGCTCTTGCTCAGCTTTCAGTCACTTCTCCTGCTACCCACAAGCAAATTGGGCCCTTCTGGTGCTGATTCCCAGATGAGACCCCTGTGGGTCTCTCCAACAAACTCTCCTGTGAAGCTGGGAGTTTCTCCCACCACCACAACCCCCACAGGTGTTTTCAGTCAGAGGTTTTTAAGGCTTTATTTCCCTGTGCTGAAACCCTGGGTTGTTCAGTCTGTCTTGCTCCCCAGTTGTTCCTCCCAGTTTATCTGCCTGCAAATATGGGACCAACCACTCTACCAGCCACCACTTCGACAACTCTGCCAGTCATCCCCTTTCCAAGAGTCCTCTCCAAATCAGCTGCCCATCTCCATCCATCCTACTGGTCTAGATGAATGTTTCTTCAATTCCTTGGTTGTCAGACTTCCATACAGTTAAATTTTCTGGTAGTGATGGATTTTTTTTTTATATGTTGTCCTTCTTTTGGCTGTGTGAGGAGGCAAAGTGTGTTTACCTAGGCTTCCATCTTGGCCGGAAGTCCTACACAATATGTTGTTAAATTTTTCTTCAGAGTTGTAAAAATTTCTATTCTCATCAGCTGTGTATACATGTTCACTTGTTCCACATTTTTGTCACTATGTATGTAGCACAGACAGACACTTTAATTCTGTCAATCAGGTAGGTGTAAAATGGTATCTCATTTGGGTCTAATCTGCATTTTCATGATTATTAGAGAAGTTGATTGTCTTTATATATGTGGGCTGTTTTGGTCTGCTCTTCTGTGAATTATTTATTTACATTCTTGCTCAGATTCAATTGGGTTGTTTTTGCTTCTCTTTATTCATTTGCAGGCTTCTTTACATAGTCTAGATGTGAACAGTTTATTACTTTTGTTCAATACACACACTTTCTCCCAATCTATGTCATATTTTTCATTTTGTAGTGTTCTTTGTGGTAAATGAAAGTTTTAAATTTCAACATAATTTTATTATCAACTTCTTCCCTTATGAGTTGTATTCCTATGTCTCCTTAAAGAAAATCTATTTTACCTAAAACCATAGGAACATTTTCATATATGTTCCTATAAAAGTTTTAAAGGTTTGCTTTCACTTTCAGGTTGATTTTATCTTGTATAAAGTATGAGATCTGGATCTAATTTAATTAATTTTTATACAGCTAACCATGATAGTTTTGCTGTTATATAACCTGTTTTCACATATAAATGCATCTTTTTCTGGGCTATTGGCTAAAAACATTTCTCTACTTGATTATATGTATAGCTTGCCACTCTGTTTTAATCAGCTTAAAGCATTTTGGTATCTAGATAGAACAAGACACTTCCATCTTGTTCTTTTCCATAACAGACTTGGCTATTCTTGGTCATTTCCTCTTTCATATAAATTTTAGACCCAGCTTATAAAATTCTGCCAAAGGCTCTCCTCAAATTTTAACAGAAAATAAATTTGATTAAAATAAATAAAATAAATGTAGTAAAGCATCAAATTTATGATGCTGAATCATCATACCCATAGACATGGTATGGTTTTCCACTGATTCTTTTAATAAAGATTTATAGTTTTCTCTATAAATATCTTGTCTTTAATTACATTTTTTCCTAGAATTTTTTTAAGTCTGTTGCTATTATAAATGCAATTATTGTAAAATTGTATTTTCTAATTGTTGGATTTTAATTGATAGGAAAATGATTCATTTTATATATGGATTATGCACCCAATAATTTTCTGAACATTATTTTGGTCTGTTTATCATTAAATGCTCTCTTGAATGTTCTATATCAGCAACCAAATTGTGTGCAAGTAATGATAGAGCTTGTTCTTCTTTTTCAAATACTCATTCATTTCTTAAAAATTGCCTCTGTCCTAGCTAGGACTTCCAAGTGTTTCAGAATGATATGAAAAATAAAGAATAAATAGTGCTTGGTTTATAATATTTTGTTTCATTTTATTTCATTTAACTCTTAAAATTTAGATCTTTCTTTTTTTTTTAAGGACTCAACTTTTTTTTAAGATTTTATTTATTTATTTTTACAGAGGGAAGGGAGGGAGAGAGAGAGAGAGAAACATCAATGTAGCTCTGGCTGGCATAGCTCAGTGGATTGAGCACAGGCTGTGAACCAAAGTGTTGCAGGTTTGATTCCCAGCCAGGGTACATGCCTGGGTTGCAGGTTATAACCCCCAGCAACCGCACATTGATGTTTCTCTCTCTCTCTCTATCTCCCTCCCTTCCCTCTCTAAAAAATAAATAAATAAAATCTTAAAAAAAGAAACATCAATGTGTGGTTGCTGGGGGCCATGGCCTGC